TAGTTTAGCGCTGGCTTAGAATAGTTAAAAGAAATATGGCATCAATTTGTCAAGTTGTTCAAAATTTACACGATTACTAACAGACGCACCAACGACTTTAATTTAATGTATAGGTACTTGCTGCTACAGTTGTTGTGAGTTTCACTTCGAATCCACTCCAGGCCTTTTACAGTGTAAATGTCAAATTTATTAATATTTTGATTGATAACAGCGCCACCCATCGGGTCCAGATTTTGTGATTTCATTTGTAGTCAGAAATTTGTCTTGTAGGATAATCGGAAGTAGCTTTCTCCATACATTTATTCTAGATTCAGCACATTATCAGAAATTACGAAAGCGCACGCCCATATGACGGAGACGGACGTATTGGGGACTGAGACTGACGAAAGTGACCAAATTATTATAAGAATGTTATACTACATAGAAAAATGTACGTGTCTGTGGAATATTGGCGATAAATGAAATTGTCTGAACGAAATATTTAATAGTATGAGGTATGCGGGGTGTGCGGGGTGTGCGGGGTGTACGGGGTGTGGTGCAATGAACGTCCGGCGGGCGTTATAAAATTTCTGGCCGAAAACGTGTTAATGAGCAGCCCTCCTTATAAGTTATTTTTTTACTAACTACTACAATGTCGACTATATTTATTCATTCGTTCATATATTAAAACATCAACCGTCTACTGCTGAACAACATTGCCTTATAACATCGCCTCATGGGAGGTATAAATGTCAACGTTACCACGTTTGGTAGCTGAGTTTGCAACCGCAGTTTTCTTATTTTCTAGTAGTAATTTAGGAAGACGCTTCTGCCCATTTGGTCTGGTTTGTTTCTCTCTGTCGCCTCTTACGATACCCACGGGACGATATGCAGTAGTGGATATTCATACACCATTATAATTTTAGGTATATTTAGAGATAATAATAGTGAGATACAAAGGTAAAAAACTTGACATATGCAAAGTGAAAATAACAATATAAAAGGGTGGATAGTACCTACACTAAAAGTAAGAGTTTTTTAATTTCTCCATCTTATTTTTTTCTTCAAATTTAAATAAGATCACCCTTCAGGTATGAATAATTTAATAAGAAAATAATCATAAATATTCGTTCGCAACTGGCGATTTTGTTGCGTAACATCCAAAAAAAAAGGGTGGAATGTAAAAACCTTTTTTCCTTTTTTTTAAACTAGCTAAAAAGAATGATTTCTTATATTTACGCAAACACTACACATTAAATAAAACTACATTTACGGCTATTGGGACTGATCATGTGTCCCCCGTGACCACGGGTGCTGAAAAGAAGTACAATTAAACGCGACAATATCCTTAAAAGTAGTTTTATTCAACGGCTAAAAAGTAGTTTAGAATGTCTTTCATAGTTTTTTATAGACACGGTGGAGTATTTTAATGGTTGGAACCTACAGTCACGGCAATCAAGGCCAGATCAATCGCGTACTAAACCGTGTGCCGAGCGCCTAACCTACTAAGGTTGTTATTTTTAAGACCCGGATACACTAGGGGACATTTTGTCCGGCCACATGACACGGAAAAGTCAATCTACGTGACGATGCAACTTTGCACAGTAACGCGCAACGTGGGTCGCAACATTTTACGTGACGTGGGACATGTTGCTTGTTCCCGCTCCGAGAGCGAGCGCACGTGTCCCGCGTCAGTATCACGCCATTTTTGTTACCAGGTGTAGTTATGTGCGTAACGTGGCTTGCAACATGTCAATAGTGTGAAGGAATGAAACCGTGCTTTTACTTCTTGAGCTTTACCAGATTCATGTTTTGTTGTGGGATACTTGAAACCACACAATTCTGTTACTATTCTGCCGATCAGTTATTTCCACACTGTGTACAGTAAGGAAGCATAAGAATCACCAGTCGACAAGTCTGATATGAGAGCCAACAGCGTTCAGTAGTATTGTATCCTGTTTGGCTATGGATTGTCCGATCATTTGTAATATAGTTTCAAAATCAGATGTTGACATTCGAGTAAAATTCATAAAAAATCCGTCAGACATTCGGAGATCACTTAAAATATTAATTCTTCTTTCTTATCGTTGTAGTAAGAAATTCCGCATCCACCATCTTCGCTTTTGCTTACGTTTCACTTCCGAAATAAGTACTATGTACGCAGCACTAATTGCCTTTAGGCGACTTATAGAAATGGAAAAAAACTTCCTCGGGCGACATTTGTATAAGCACTAACAAGTGTGGCCTGCAAAATGTTCCGCGATATATGCCTTGGGACATTCCATTGTTGAGCGACATGTTGCGCAACATGCCACTCCTTTTGTCCGCAAGTATATCCAAGGGTTTATCTGTGAAATTATATTCGGGCGACATAAAGATTAATTACCAACAACATCGTTTGTGTGACGTCATTTCAGAATTCAATGGAGGAGAATAGATGGGTTAAGCTTGGCGTCGTGCCATTTGTACCATTAACATTATGTTGTCGCAATTGAAATGATTTTCATAGAACTATATGTTCAAAGGGAAGTTACGATTTTTTTTTTAGTTAGGTGAACATGAGTGGTTGGACATTAACGTGAGATATATGTATGTGCATCATTTGTTATGGAACCAAATCGTAAGTCCGGATCACAGACGTAAAATTACGAGACTCTTGGTATTCTATAGGGTATTCGGAGACTTAATTTCTCAAGCTTTCTTCAACATCGGATAACCAGACGCCCGGCGGGTCTTCACCCCATTATTGTCAACATTCCACGCATACCTAACGACAAACGAGTGGAATAGTTTATCGGCATCGCTCTTTCTATCTATAATAATGTGATTTTTGAAAAAATACGAGTAATTAACTATTTATAATGTTATAAAATCTTAAATTTGGTCCAAGATTAAAAGAGACAATTAAATGAGTAAAACAATATGAAAAAGTTAAGAAATCATTTTGAATTTTTTTCATTAATAATGTCCTCCAGACCGAATTCCGGTCACGGCGGCCAGCCTCAACGGACCAGCTATCGGCGCAGGACAGGATTATAGTGCCCAAGTGAACGTGCAAGCACAGGTGTACTCTCTATTCCCTCGCTCTCATAGTCCGATGGGACGGTAAACCGAAACGACAGAGATCAGGCACAGGACCAACAGCTTTACGTGCTTTACGAGGCACGAGGGGGAGAGGGGGTTACCACTACACCAACGTGGCAGTCATAAGCCTGAAGTTACTAACGAACTTTTGTCCACCTGATCGTAAGTGACTAATGCAGCCCGTGGACACTTGCAGCTAACTTCAAATAAGGAAAACGTTGACACCTCTCAGGACTAAAATACAATGCCTCACAGCCTCTAGAGAAACGGAGATATTTTTTATTGGTAAAGTGTCAGAACCATTTCATCTTTCATTTCATCACTAATTAAGGATTGATCTGGATGTCTATATGCCACAGCATTTACTTACCATCAGGGGGACTCCGTGCTCGTTTGTCACCCTCATTCTATAACGTTAAGTTTATTTATGACTTCCACTTATATTTTTATCTGAAACAATTAACATATTACAAATACAGTATTTTTAAAGATGGTCGAAGAAGTTCTATATACGACGCGTATATTAGACACTGGCAGTTAGCTAATGTTATAAGAAGTAACTTAGGCTACTTTTATTTTAGAAAAACAATTAGAGTTCCGCGCAGAAAACCTAAAAGCCATAAAATCCAATAGTAATAAATACCACGTGGGAGAAGTCGCGGGGAACAGCTGGTGTATTAAAATTTGAAGAAATCGCTCCAACCCTAAGGGTGGCAAAATAGATGATGAAGATTTTAATTTAACTACTTGAACAACATTCTTGTTGTTACCAATTATAAAATTAGAATTTTAATAAAATATATAAGCCTAAGTCATTTCTTATAACATAAGCTATTTGATAGTGAAATTTCCGTCAAAATCGGTTTAGCCATTTTGTAGATTATCCGGAACAAACAGACAGCCTGAAAGACAAACATTTTTAAAATAGTTTTTTGTCATGAATACCGTATTAACTTTCATATGCATTTAGTAAAAAGCTTTTATTTTGACAGTACAAACATACACATACATTTTATTTATTTGTATTGATTTTATTTTAATAACAATTTCCAAATAATAGCTTTTAAAACATAGTGTGTAGGAGTATTAAATCCCCGACTCCCGTAGCTAATATGCGGAAATAATTTTATTCTTTTAGTTATGTATTTGAAGTCTGCTTTTACTTTTTATTAAACGTTTAATTTTTGACCCTTTTTAGTGGACTAAGATATATGAAAATCTCAAATGTCATTTAAATATTAGTTAAATTAGCGTTAAAAATAGTTAACATGGTGGTGCATACCCAGATGTGTGTATTCATCATTATAATCATTACAGGCCTTCGTTGTCCACCCAAGTCTACTGCTGAACTCAATATCTCTTGTGAATATAGACCCCCAAAGTAATGCCACAAACGGTCCTGAGTTACCTACATCCATCAAATCTAGTAACGGAAATGGATGTCGTTATCGGCCCTTCGATCTTGGCTCACATTGCCAGCTATTTCGATTACTCTGGTTCTGGATTTGTGTCTGGACTAGGTGTGGTTACTTTGGTTCTGCGGATATCATTGTTATAGATTCTATCACGAAGAGAAACTTCATATTGTATTTTTCTTATTTAAGTAACAACATTATAAGCTCATTTTTTTTAAATTACAGGTAAAACAGTAAAGAAGCAAATTTGGCGATTATAATTAACATTATTATAAATAACATTTGACGCCAGTGAATGAGGAAAAAGAGAAAAAGTGCTGAAATTAAGGATTTAAAAAGAGTGACTTTTACTTCCATCAGATGAGCTTAGTCTATAAGACTTTGTGAAGCATTATAAGACCAAATCAGTGCGGAGTGTGTGACGGTGACCCACGTTGAAATGTGGTAGTGTTGTGAGGGTGATCTTAATGGTATTACCACCATTACGAATGCGGGCGAGCGGGCCTTCAGGCCGGCAGGTCAATGACATCGCCGGCACCATTCGTGCTTTCCCTCTTCGTCGGTAAGCATATACTTTTTTTTTTAAATTAATTGTTGATGGTCAGTCTTAAGGTCTAAAGTTATTTCCTTACTTTGTAAGGAAAATACATTAACCAATATTTGTATGCATAAGTAGTCATTGTTATTATTGCCAACTTGTAAATAGTCTGCTGCTATATTGGACAAATTTCTACGTTATGCAATCTTAGAGGTAGGTTTTTCATGTTGTAGCAATGTACTCCATCCGTGAATGTGGTAGGAGTCAATCACGGGATCACGGGAAATACCAAGGAAACATCAAGATAATTAAATGATTATAATTATCTGTTGCATATTGACAATTATGTGATTATACTTAGGTATTGCACCGTCAAAGGTACTAAAGACAGGTTCTGATTTTTTGTCAGATTTTACTTCATTAAAATTCATTTTAGACTTTTTTGGGATGACTCAGAATATAATAAGCTCAAGGTAACATCTAGATGTAGTCAAAATAATTATATAAAAAATTTCATCTTCTGTTATTCCACCATTAGAGATAGATTTTTATCTGTATATTTATTTGAAACTAACCATTAATTATATTGTGTTTAAGGAAAAAGAATAATCGAAATCAGTTTATAATTAACAAAGACATTAAAACCCACGTACAACCAACACTCTTTGTCACATACAAAAAATTACAATAGTTTCCGTTTGTTTAATTTTTAGTTTTTTTTTTTTAGTTTTCATTTGACATTCACTTTTTATTAAAAGTAAATTTTTAAACCTTTTCAGTAAACTAAGAAGTATAACAATCTCGAAAGTTGGCGCAATGTGGTAGAGCCGCGCTGCAGCTACATATATTATGGTTGCCTCACGGTATACTCATTATACGAGACCCTTTTTAATGGAAACGAGGCAGAGGCATTCTATCTAGTACTCAGAGTGACAACGCATCTACATTTTGATTCTTAAACGAGGATAAATATAGATGTCTAAAGGCCGCAGCATCCAATTGCTACAGATGGAATGTATGCTCGTTTGTTATTCGAAATAATTACATTAAATTTTTTTTCTGTATTGAACGCCCCCGGTTAAAAAAACCTAGTTAAGTGCAATTATGGATTTTTTACCGTTATATTACATGTCGTAATCTATAGGTTGGCATACACTTTGGTAATATTTTTCTCATTTTTTCTAGCTTTACTTAAGGATATATAATAAAACCTTACATAGCAAAACAAAAAGATTTTATTGTGTTGATTTGGTAAACTACTATTACCGCAGTATTAGCGTAAACAAATATTACTGTAGTGCTTATTAAATCCGATTACTATAATTGTAAAATTGGTTTTACCAATAGTTTTAGCCTATCTTTAATCATTTCACATTTTTTTATTTTATTATTTTACCTGTCTCTAATTAGATAGTAGAGATTTGATTTTTTCGACTTCAATATTATAATTTTTAATTTTATTTTTTTTTTATTAATTTTGCTGTCCGAAAGTTCGTAGGAAACAGCATTATGTTTCGTTAAGTACCGTTAGAAAATAATAGATATAGAAAAAGAAAAATCATCATCAATCGAAAATACTGTCCAGATGGTGTTCACATCTCATAAATGTATCGTTTAGAAATTGTTTTTATTATTTGGTACAACAAAATTACAAAAATTTTCCGAAAGTCACAAACGCCAATATAAAACAGTTTTTATACAAAATAACTATTCATTTCTCAAAGCTATTTTATGCAAGATAAAATCTATTTGCAAGAACATTGATCCTTATTGGTTTGAAAGGACTGGCTATACAATAAAAGCATCTTTAGAAAAAAAAACAGTTACCATTTAGAAATAAAAGAAAAGATTGGGCTGAAAAGGCAGAAATGGATACAGTCGTGTTTAGAATATGACATCATTTAATGTGCGTATCTTAGGAGAGTACCTTATACTACAAACGAAAGTATCCATACATACATACATAAACACTCACGCCTGTCACCCAGAGGGGTAGGCAGAGACTATGGACTTCCATTTGGCGCGATCCTGACACACCTCTTTCGCCTCCTTTACATCCATATACTCCTAATCTGGCCCATTTTCAATGTATCGCCGATTTGGTCGATAAATCTTCGTCTAGGGCGTCCCTTCCCGACTCTGCCGTTCACTTCTGAAACATATATTTGCTTTGTCACTCTATCCTAGTTCATTCTTTCTACATGACCAAACCACCGAAGCATTCCTTTTTTAATCCTGGTCACAACGTCATCTTGCAAACCACACTTTTCTCTTATCACATTATTTATCACACATACTCCTTAATGACCGCATTTCTACAGCATTTATTCTACTCTCATGCTTCTTCTGCCAGACCTAACTTTCACTACCATATATTAAAGTAGGGACCAACACAGCATTATGAATTGCCATACGTGCCTTCTTTGACACATTCTGAAAGTACCCAGTGTATCATTTTACTACTTTTGAGGCCCTACGAAAAATACAGCAGAAAGGGATACATAAAAGCAGAAAGAGGTATTAATGAAAACAGTGTTGCTAGTTGATATTTTTTAATCTAAAAATTAAACAAGTATTAACAAATGCTTCTATGGCCAGAAAAAAGTGAGTACTATTTTGTTTGTGTGTCTTTAGAAACCGTTGACAACCTGGAATTCCATGCTTGACTATCTAAACAAAGCTACAAAATTATTTTAAATTCACTACCGTTGAGAAATATCAATTTATTTGTGCAACCTGATGTAATTATCTGTATCGTAAAAAGTGATATGAAACGGAAGTAGAGCAGCAGAATCTTTCTAATGTTAAGTATTAGAAAGATTCAAAATAATAGAAAAAATAGCGGTGGCTAACCTTAAATAATTATTCCTATGTTTAGACTCTTGATAGGCTGTGATCAATCGTTAATGATGCAATGAAAATAATAATGAAAATGATGACATAAAGATACTACTTAAACTAAATAATTAGCGACATGATACAGATATCAACATAATTTGATGGTCTGATCTTTTGGAGGTCAATGTTTCACGTTTACAAGAAAATACACTCTTTTCAGTTGTAATTTTGAAGTTTAAAGATCTATAAGACGAGAACGACCAAAAAAGCGGTAGGAGAACGTTCCATTGCCACACGCGTACCACCAGCCCATTCGAATAAGCAAAACTTTGCATACAGTTCTTTTTCAAGCCCACGCTTTTCAAAAGGATGTTTCTTTTAAATTCCTGTTTTTGTGATAGTGAAAAAGTTTAAAACAACAAATAATAATGCAGTTGAAAATACTGCAATTTTATTACTTTAATACATTTTTAACAGTGATTCAAATCTTACCTAGTTTGAGGTTTCTTCGAACTAGGTAAGACACATCATTTTATTTTATCTAGCGGATGTACGCAAAGTAATTTTTCGGCAAAATTAATTCAAGAAAACTTTGTCAGTGGTAATTATTCTCCTTGTATTTACAGAATGCACATACACTATTTTTAATAAAACTATTTTTGAATTTTGTGTACATACATTAAATTTTCGTAAATATGTTAAGAGGCCAAAGTTAATATATTCATTTCTTTAGAGATAATAGGAATTCATTCATTCATTTATTATAGCCATTAAAAAGCTGAGCGTAGGCCTCCCCAAAGGAATGTCACAATGCACGGTCCTAAGCCACCCGCACCCATCGAATTTCTGCATGTATTATGTAATATATGAATGAAAAATAAATAGCTCTTGGAAATGAGGTTATTGCTTTTTTATATATAAGATAAGGGTGACAAATGAGCAAACAGTCTACCTGATGGTAAGTGGTCGCTGTGGCTCATAGACATCTACATCTATCTTTGATTACGAATCAAAATGCAGATGCGTTGTCACCCGTGAGTTTTCCAGTAAAAAGGATCTCCGGTTATCTACACTCACTATACGAAACACAGCACCGTTAAGCTGCTATTTTACGCTGGTATTCTATGAGAGCGTTGTCCTTCCCCGGTCGAGCCGACCCATACGTGCTACAACTATAATATAGCTGCAGCATGGCGCTACCACGTATAAAATTGCTGGTGGTAAATGAGGTTATTACTCTATGGTAGCCATTATAATTCATACACTTAAATAATTGTATCATAAAAGTAAAGTAAGGTAAAGTTATAGCCTATAAACGTCCCAAAGCTGGGTACAGGTCTCCTTTCAATTATGAATGGGCTTAGAGCAATGAAATGTCCACCGCGGTGCTCCACTGTGTGTTTGGGGGTTCTCACATGTCTTGGAATGTATTGTATCGCATTATTGCAGACATTTATGGTTGAAGAAAATAATCCCGCTGGATGTATTATTGATTTTTCTCAGGACAAAGGTATTTTCCGAACTAGTAGTGAATATAAATTAAAATCCTGTACGTTAGTCCCGCTAAAACTCGAAAATAGCTCGACTGATTTTGATGAAATTATTGTGTGTTAGTGTGTGTGTGTGTGTGTGTGTGTGTGTGTGTGTGTGTGTGTGTGTGTGTGTGTGTGTGTGTGTGTGTGTGTTTGTGTGTGTGTGTTTGTGTAATTATGTGGATAATTGTATGTTAGGGGGATGAGTCGCTCGCGTCCGTAGGCTTCGACCACCTAATCCTAGGCCCACCCTACACGTGTCCCCCGGGTGGTGCAAAACGAGTGACAAAGCCGAAACGACAGACTCGGCTCCTCGCCGTATGGTAGCGGCGTAAAATCTACCACCCCTTAGTTTGCACCATGAGCCAAAAAGAAAAAGAAATGGCCCCGAGTTCCCGGCGCCCCTTTAATGGGGCAGGGGTGCGAAGAATCTCCGGGAGAAAAACCGGCGACGAGGTTCGCCACCCGTCACGTCCTGTCTCCCGGGGGGGGGGGGGGGGCGAAAAGTGGATTGCGGAGGCCCGTCTGGCTACGCTGAATGTATGTGGAGCAATGAATGATAAGATGGATGAAGTATGCGAAATGATGAATAAAAGAGGAATAGATGTGTTATGTGTAAACGAGACGAAACGAAAGGGAAGAGATGTCACTGAA